CCTTGATTTCAGCAGTAATGGGAAGTACCTGGCATCTTGCTCTGATGATCGCACCGTCAGGATCTGGAGCACCAAAGACTTCTTGGACCGGGAACACAAGTGTCTTAGAGCCAATGTGGAGCTGGATCATGCTACACTGGTCCGCTTCAGCCCGGACTCCAGGTCTTTTGCTATCTCTTTACATGTACTCATTTACATGAAGCATCCCCTATCTATTCCCAAGCCTAAGCATAACCAAGACCTAAATGTAATTTAAATAAACCAGGCCCCACAGCTTAAACAGCAATGAGAGGTTAAATGAAGTGATGACAGAATTACCTCATATGACTTAATTTGTATTAATGTGTACACTTCCTAAGCAACCATCTCAGCTAAGGCAGCGACTACACCTTCATTTGAAGGAAAGTAAATGATGTTACTTTTGCTTGCTTTTATTTTACCAAAAGTAAATCCATTTATTTATTAAAATTTTTCTGAAAATCAAACCACTTGATTGCCTGTAATTTTCAAATGCAGATTTGTTTTAATATGCACACCATGTACCAGTAATATAGATAACCTGAGCAGAATTCTGCCTTTGTCTCTCAAACACACATGGCATCTGGAGGTAATTTTTGGATACAGTCAGATGATGATGACCACCTTCTACCCTGACTCTCACATTTTCACTGCAGGGCGTTTATCACCTGGTTGGCTAATGGAGATGCCATTCGAATCTTCAAAATGACCAAGAAGGATGACGGCAGTTTAAGCTTCAAAGCTGCTGCTGACGACTTCCCACAGAAACACAAGGCCCCCATCCTAAACATTGGCATTGCAGAGACAGGTACAGAGCATGTGAAATATCTTAGTCTTGTATGAATTTGTAGTGTTTTTGTGTGTTCTTAGTGTATGTTTCAGCTTGTGACGAACAAGGATGCAAAGGTCATTTCTGTTTTGTTTTTGTGTGACCTTCGTACTAGTAATGATAGAAGTGGCACCCAGAGTTGTTGACTGTGTGAATGAAATTGTTGTACCTGTTAGTTTTTTTTTTCTTTTTTGGCAAAAGCTGCTGTGATAGTTTCTGGGCCATCAGAAAGTGCTACTCCTAGAGCATGGCATGAGCTTTTTTGTACCAGGAACAATGGCAAAGGGAACTAAATTTTGATTGTGGTTCTTTTGGTCGAAACACAGGTATTGTTCCTGAGTTTGGTTTCTCCTTTTCTGTCGAAAAGTTCCTTCTTTGGAAATATGACAAAAAAACAAATTTCCTTTTGCATATTCTTGTTTGCATTTCTGCTGCATCAGAATGTCCATGAAGACTAGTTAAATGGAACAGCTTTGTTAAAGAAGCAATAACAAAACAGCAGCACGGACTTATCATTTTGTTCTGTCAGTTACTGCCATGTGTTTGATGGTTATTTATTTCAGTGATGAGAAACTAGATGCCTCTGAGAAACTGATAGTTTCACATGAGTAGAATTACTGCTAAGAGAGAAAATGTCTTTAAAATCAGTTTGTGTGATGAAAGATGAGTTCAGTTTCCTTATATTAGATTTCACTGGTATTCTAGTTTTTCACCAATCTACAATACGTGTAGTGCTGATTCTGTGTTTCTTCTCTGCAGGCAAGTTCATCATGAGCGCCTCTACTGACACCAGCATTCACGTCTGGGACTTGAAAGGAGAGGTACTGGCCTCTATCAACACTAACCAGATAACCAATTCTTATGCTGCCATCTCCCCATGTGGCAGGTCAGTCCCACCCCCTCCATCACTGCAAATCTTCCACTTGAAAGATCAAATAGGGATCTATCTCAGATTTACAGTGCTCCCCCTTGAAAGTTTTTATGTTTTATTTTCATTGAATCAAAGTAGATTTCATATGCATTTTTTAACACTGATCCACAGAAGAAGACTCTAAAAGTGAAAATGGATCTCTACAAATTGATGCTTTTTAAGGCACTGTAGATTTGCCCCTCTTCAAGTATCATCTAGAAATTTGACCAGATCTGGTAAAGGCATCATGAGTTCATCACTTGGGGTCATTTAGATTGAAAAGTGAACATATTTCTGTGTTTGAATTCTCACCTCTCCCTCCACCAAATTACTAATTGAAAGTCCTAGTTTTGCACCCCTTATTCATAATTTAGCAAACAAGTGGTCTCTTTTTAATGATTTCTTCTGCACTGTCTGTAATTCTTGACCTGATCATTTACTTTCTAAATGAGTTGTATGGTAAACACTCAGCAAAAATTGGTGTCAAATGGGGGTAGAGAGATTGATTGCACACCAGTTGGCAAGACATCTGTGACAAAATAGAATTATTAGAGCTTAGTGTGTGTACATTGATGTGGGATGTTGTTTCAAGTACCAGCGAGATAATGAACTATATCCCTGGATGGATTTGAGGCTGGTTTTTAGGAATTGATCCATGAGTTTGACGACTTCTCAGATATTGTATATTGTAATACTGTACAGCAGTTTATAATCCTATGAGGCAAGATTTTACAACTCTTTACATCTGTGTTATGGCAAAAGATTAGCCAGGTTCATCTGTGCCAACACAGTGGTCTGAACTAATGGGTCTGAACACAAGTGTAGTATGTGGATACTGCCTCTTCTGAAACCATTGTGTATCCATAGCCATTTTAATTGCCACAAAGGGAAAGTATTTTGTAACACCTACTATCTGAAGGTAAAATATGACTACAAGAGAAAAAACATATTTAAATCCTATGCGACTTAGGCTGAGATCCAATTGTGTGTGCCATTTGTCTCTGTGCTCAGGTTTGTAGCATCATGTGGCTTCACCCCTGACGTGAAGGTGTGGGAGGTTTGCTTCGGGAAGGGAGGAGAGTTCAAAGAGGTGGCGCGAGCTTTTGACCTGAAGGGCCACTCTGCAGGAGTTCATGCATTTGCCTTTTCCAATGATTCTCACAGGTAACTTAAGGCTTTTCTGATTTCAATACACAGCCAAAGAAGTGGCTCACACTGACAGCATAACACTGCCATGTAAATGTTTTCTGTTCTTTGCTTTTCAGAATGGTGACTGTATCCAAAGACGGTACATGGAAGCTGTGGAATACAGATGTGGAGTACAAAAAGCAGCAGGATCCCTACCTCCTGAAGACTGTCCCCTGTGCGTCATCTGAAGGTAGCAGGGTGGCCTTATCTCCAGATGGCCGGGTGGTGGCCATCAGTGATGGCTCTAACTTGGCTATGTACAACGCTGCCACTGGCGAGCTAGAAGAAGAAATGAATGGCGTCCACAGTGAGGAGATCAATGACCTTAGATTTGATATTAATGGGCGCTTCTTGGTGTGTAGCGGTGACAAGGCCATCCGAGTGTTTCACAATGCCCCGGGCTACCGGGCAGCCATCAGAGACATGCAGGACATGCTGAAGAAAGCCCAGAATGAAGCCATGAAGCAGAGATTGCAGCAGCAGATAAAAGAGGCTCAGAGTGCCCTGGACACTGTGCTGGCTGCTCCTGTCGACTGAAGAATCCCTAAGGAACCACACTCTGATTGTGATAGTGTCGGACTCTGACTGCTGATCTTTTTTGTAACCTCAACTCTCCCTCTGCCACTAAATGATCTGGACGGGGAAAATGAAATTTGCATGCAGTTTTAATAAAGAATATCTTTTTATGGAAAAATAAAATGGTTTAAGTTCAGATCTTTTTCTATGCTATTTAATGCACAGTAATGTCTTGTGTATGATCTCTCTTGTGGTTGTCGTACAGTATATCTGCCTCTAAGGTTCAATTTAAATTCCCCCTCCACTCAAAGTCTCACCTTAAAGGAGCTATTTGTAAGTTTTGCTATTGCTACATGCCAATGTTAGAATTAACAGCTGTTTACTTACCAGTCTAGAAGAAACATTCATCATCAAACTTCTTTCCTTTAGTCATTAAGAGTTGTATCCAGTGGTTGAAAGTAACCCTCTTGTTTTACTTCTATTTCTGTCACTTCTTTTCTATTACTAAAGTTAGCATGCCAACCAGCTAGGCCTGGCCTGTCTGGACTGTCTCTTCACTTTTCAATACAGAGTCACTGTAGTTCTTACAAAGACTGGTAAGTAAATGCCTGTTAATGCTAATGCTGGCTATGTATTAATAGCAAAACTTCATGATTTTGTAACATATCTAGTTTGAAAGCCAAATATAGTCCAATATGCAACTTATATATAAGTTGAATGTGGAAGCTTGGAACCTTCAATGCACAAATGCTGAACATGGACTTTTCACAACATATGGGATGCAAATTATTGTTCAAAAACTATTTTTCTTATGTCTTATTCATGTCTGGAGGGAATATTTAAGTCTAAACTACAGTTTACTCTTGAATGGCACAATCTATGCAAGGCCAAGGTGACATCTACCAAACCCAAACATCTTCAGTTTACTATCATGAAAGTCTATTGCAATCAGAAAATATTCACATTCGAGAAGCTGAAACCAGAGAACTTGGGCAACTTTCTTAAAAAATGACTCAAAACTATTAATCGATTATCAAAATAGTTGCTGATTATTTTTCTCACAAACGATTAATTTACTAGGTGTTGCAGTTCTAATTTCATGTCTTTATTAACATCTCTATTAATTTTAAACTGAATTATTTGAAAAAAATCTGAATACAGAGTCCTCTTTTTATGTGCACATAGTGACAACAGAATAGATGATTGGTGTATAAGGCTTTGTTTGGGAAATAACTTTTCCATGAATGAAAAAATACAAACAGTAACTACAAAAAACTCCAACGTAAGACTTTATTCAGTTGATGTAAAATATCTGTATGCATCCTTTAACAATCACAGTAACAGAAACACGTCAGAACTGCCACTCTACTGGAAGATTATGAATTATATATTAGATTATTATAATGCCTCAGCTTTTTGTTGTCGTCTAGGTCTGTCTGTTATTTTTCTGTTTTTATTTTCAATAAAGTTGTGAAAAAATGGGGGCGGGGTTAGGATGTTGAACCGGAAGCAGTATCTGTGCTGTGAGGCACGTTTTCCTCCTGCAGCAGCATGGACAGTTAGTTGTGGTGGTGTGAGGAGATGTCTGTAGAGATGGTGGAGCTCTCGGTAAAAGCGTCAGAGCCGGTCCGACCCGCCGGGATCCTGCAGCAGAACCGCGTCTTCCTCGACTTCTTCTGGGACTTGGCCAAACCGGATCAGGAGGTCCGGCTGAAGGCGGTGGAAAACCTCATCCAGTACCTGAAAACTAATAACAAGGTGAGGCAGATCACTGACAGTGTAAACCCAGCATGGTCCTGTTGGACATGTACTCCTCAAGACGCTGGGATAGTCATAGTAGCAGTGTTGTTAGCAGATGCAGTTGTAATGTCAGCAGCAATGGGACAATTATTCAAATAATTATGTGAACATGAGAACACAACCATATATAAATACTCTTAGGAGTAAAAGTCCTGCTCTCTTACTGAAGTAAAATTTCATTAAAAATACTCTATTAGCATTATCCATAATGGGCCCGGTCAGTGTTGTATTACTATATTATTGAGTCATTATTAGTAGGGAACTTTGTGGCTGTGTTGAGCTCATTTTTACTGTCTCATACTTTTGGATTCTTTAATCTATTACAATGTCATTTTTTGCAAGCTCATAAGTTTTCTATATAATATAATTTATGTAACATATCTAGTAACTACAGCAGGGAAATAAATGTATTACAATATAAGGTACAGTAATTCCATCAGACATTGCCAAGGGGCAAAAATTTGTTGTGCCCCTGTTGGCCCCCACTATACATTACAGTTTGACTGTGTCCTCAGGAACCTGGTAACCAACTAGAACTATAGAGCTGAAATGATTAGTGGATTAACAGAAATTAAATAGCAGTTATTTAGGTAACGATTAATTATTTCTCAAGCAAACAATTACTAGGTACCAGCTTCTCAACTGTGAATATTTGCTATTTTACCAGTTCTCTATGATAGTAAACTGGTTTTTGACTCATAGTCAGATAAGAAAGAAGTAGGGATCCAGGGAACAGTGATGGTGATCAATCGATTATTAAAGAAAATAATTGTTAGATAATTTGTGATTAATTATATTATCTAGCCAGAAATAGAGTAAAGTAAATGCGGGGCTTTCAAGGCCTGGGTGTTAACCATGAGCCCTGTTACCAATAGAAATTCTATGTTACAGAATGTATGCAGTCTTTAAGTGTATAATAGGTGTGTGAGGCTGTGTATCATGACATGGTGCTCTCTGTGTCCTACAGGCAGATGAGTTGGAATACACCTTTAAAAGACTGGTGGATGGACTGGCGCACACACGAGAGACTGCGAGACCTGGATTCAGCCTGGCTCTGGGACAGGTGAGACCAAACTAATTGAACTTTTCTGTCCATTATTACAATCCCAGGTTGACTTGTATTTGGAGATATCTTAACTGTATGTGAGACCATTAGGCTCCCAACTCAAAGGTCCACTTATTAGCTTTTTAAGAGCTTTCAAATACATCTCACTGTCTGTAAGTTGAGCTGGATGGTGAAGTGACAACACACGAGCCAGTTCCATTCACTGCTAAAAACTGTGAGATGCCATTGAAAGCCCTGAAATAAGGTCGTATAAAGGACCTTCAGTTGAGATTATTTTGTCACTCATTTCATATTTTGGTCTCATTTTTTAATAAATGTAGAGTTGTATAATAGAGATGTATAATATATTCCTGTTGCTCATCATTGATGATGATCAAGTCACTATGGTGTTATTTGATTAGCAAACACTGAATAGATCATCAGTTAATGCGTGTTACTTTATACATTAACTGATATTGTGACCTCCACATGTTGCTGTATAGCACAGTGGTCTTTATGTCACATTTACAAACTAGGGGGTGAATTACTCAAGTATATATTTTGAACCCTTATTATGAAATCTTTTCCCATCAGCTGATATTTTATTATCAGATTTCTTTTAACTGTCAAATATATTTGTCTGTTGCAGCATAGACAAAAAATTTTCTAGCCAGGAATGAAGTGCAATTCTTTTTATTACATGTCGCTGATATTGTCATTTGACTCATAACACACTGAATGATTCTGTAATTTCGTTTTAATTGGCGAAAATTGTGTTTTTGAATGAGTAGACAGATGTTTCGGTCTTGGCCGTGCAGCGGATGCTGAGCTGCAAACCACAAGCGATCAATTTTGGCAGTGGCCGCTTTAAGATAACTGAGCCAAGCAGGAAATAATCGACATGTGTTGGCTTTAGCATGACATACGTTTTTTTTGTTTTTCAGGTCTTGAGTGCCTTTGAGGAGATCTCTCTGCAGAGTATATTCGACAGAATCGAAGAAAAGCACAATTTGCAGACAGTGAAAAAGGTGAGTGTTTGGTGTTTTCTCTGTCAGCAGAGAAACTGTTTCACGAATGAGATCTGTGGCTGTGAACTTCTTCTTGTGTTTTTCAGAAACTTGTCAGAAATGCTTTGTTTGGAAACTTGTTTGGCGTCCTCGCCCTTCATCAGTCCAGCCGCCTCTCTAAAGTAAGTAGTCTCACCACCACTCATCATTTTTAAAGGAAAGGTTCAGTTTTAACTTTGTTTTCCGATGATGAGGTTTGACAGCTACGCTTGGTAAATTCAACTTTGACATTGTCATAGTAAGATAGACACAGGTGTAAATAGTAATAATACTGATGGCCAAGGTGGAAGAGTTTCATTGTGGGTAATGTAGACACCAGGTTTTCTCAAGAAAGAGGAATATATGGAATGAAAAAGACGATATCGCTGGTTCTGCTTTTATAATTCAGCTGTCCATCGTGATTCTGATAATATAATAGAAATGCATTGCCAAGTCAGTGGAGAACTTTTTTGAGTAAATGTAGATAAAATCTACATTTCTCATTCTCATTCTCTCATTCTTCGTCATTTCACACACAACAGATATGTTTCTATTTTAACAAATGTGAGAAGTTTATGTTTCTTTCTCTGACATGGAGTAAAGTGGGGGCCAACATATTATTTTTGCCCCAGATCAGGTTAATACAGCTCTAGTCTGTAGTCTAGTCTGAACAGCTGCAGACCTGCACTGTGTGTAGAGGTTTTTGTGTGTGTGAGCTGCAGTGTAACACAGTGTTGTGGTCTCTGAGCTCTGTGTTGTGTCTCTGCAGGAGCCTCAGGTGGTGTTGGGATGTGTGAAGCTCCTCCAGAGCCTCGGCCAGCACAGACAACACCTCAAGGATCTGCCCACTAAGACCATGATGGACATCCTCAATGAGGTGACTGCTTCATACTACTAGAGCCATATCACTATAACCATGACACACGCATACGTAATGCACAAGGAGTTTTAATTCTATCTGTAACTTAAATCCTGAAGTTCACTGTTAGTCATTTGATGGATTCTTTTATGTCTGAAAACACATTTTATTTTCTAAAACTAATGTGTATTTGTATGTCATGCTTGTCAGATCTCAGAGGATGTGTTTGAGGAGGTCCTGCTGGGCGCTCTGCAAACTGACCTGGCATCAGCCTTCAATACTCCAGAGCAGCTGCAGCTGCTACTGGTTGCACTGCAGCGCTTCCCACAAACCCTCAAACCCAAGAAACTGAAGAAGCTGCTGGGCTCCTCGACCATCATCAACACTGACAACATCCCAAAGTAAGAACACTGTGATTGGCTTGATTTGGATTTTGTAGGTTTTATGTCCCCCCACCTCCCTCCATATTGTGTCAGTTAGCTAATATTAGCTGTAAAAAAAAAAATATGCACCAATTTCCTTTTCTGCATCTGCTAATTAGTAGCTGTAATTAACAGCTGCTGTGTGGAAAATCAATGTGTGATGCTCTCTGGCAGGTTGACAGAGGTGTTAAAGACGGCGGCCCGCTCGGTAAAGAAGGAGTGTGTCCTCCCACCAGTGGTCCTGGACCTCCTGAAGCTCTCTCTGAAGGAAGACAGCTTCCAGCTCTTCTGGAATAAAGCCATCATCCACGGCATGTTGAAGGAGCAGCCCGGGCCAACTCAGTGAGTCCACACTGGAACAAAGGCGTTTCAAAGGCTGAAAGCAAAGAGGGGCTAAGATATTTTCCATTCAGAACTGGATTGTTCTTGCCAAAAAAATCCCAAAAAGCACTTGATTTTAGTTTGATGATGATGATGATGACGATGGTGGTGGTGGTGTAGAACACTGTCTGACACATTGCTTCAACATCTCCCATACACGTTCAGTTTCATTGAAACGTTTGTATCAGTTCTACTTATCTAATCTATCATTTTTTTCCTTTGATTTGTCACTTTTGCTTGTGTCCAGTCCCAGTTCCAGTTAATTACATTCTGCTAACATGTTCCTGTGGTGTCCTCCTGTTTGTGTCCAGTTACCTGAGCTTCCGTCTGCTGGGCAGTGCCCTGCCTCATCTGTCTGTAGCCCAGCTGAAGGAGGTGTTGTCTGGAGAGGTGATGATGCAGTATGGGGAACATGTGGTGTCTGCTCAGGTCAGTGGCCCTTTCTAGTTGACTGTAAATAGCAGGTTACGCTTGAAAAAGTTGATTGTGTGCTGTGCAGATGTTTTTCCAGGTGATCAGAAGTCTTGATGTCTCATTAATTAAAAGAGCTTAAAAAGGCTAATCAGATGTCTTGGTTAGGGTTGGATGTAGATCACAGGGAGAGATTTTTCACAACCTGGCAACCCAAAAGTTGCTCCTATTAATGACTTATAAATGATCTGTGAAGCATTTGTAAATTATTATTATTATTAACCATTATTACAGCAATGGCTTAGAGCTTATTCATAAAGGGTTACTTATTAGAAAGTGGTACCAAAGAGTTTCAATCCATATAATGACTTGGTCAAATTTGTCACTCTTCTATTTTTGTTTGTCACTTACTGTAGCTATAACAGTAGTATATTTGATTGATATGTACAGTTACATTAATTATTGTCACATCCCTTATTGGCCAGTGTTAATTTCTCCACTCCAAATAGATAAGGAGAAGTGACTGTGTGCCTGCTTAAACCAGTGGTCATGCACATTAACAGCAGACTAATCTCATCCATCACTTTCCTCTCCCAGAAACCAGACCGCTTCAAGCTGGCTCCAGAGATGGAGGTCTACGTGTCAGACTTCTTGCAGGGCTGTCAGGACTCAGACAAACAGCTGGCAGTGATGGTGGGCTTCTCCTCGCTGACCAACCAGGGTTACCCTGTGGTGCCGTCGGTGTGGAGGGTGGTGCAGCATCTCCAGCCTGCAGCTCTGCAGAGCTACGTGGAGTGGCTGAAGAACATGTTCATGCAACCTCAGCTGGACAAGCTGCTGGACTTCAGCACTCGCAAGCAGAAAGGCAATCAGGAAGGACGGGAACAGTGAGTGTATATGTCTGCTGTAAAATGTTTGTCTGTCTGACAATCTCATCTCTGTACCCGTCTGGTCTGGTGACCCTGAACAGGAAGACGCAGGGATAATAACAGGATGTAACTGCTGATTATCCCTTCTCAGGAGGGAGGACTCCATATTCCGCCTGAGGAAGTGGATTGTTGCCCGGCTCACCTCAATCGTTGACAACCACCAGGTGAAGAAGCAGGAGGATCTCATCATGGATGTGGCCAGGTGAGACTTGCTTAGATGAGCAATGTGAAGGTCTTTTGTGTTTGATGAATACAAGGACATCATTAGGCATTGTGTTGTTGTTTTTTTTTTTTCCAGGTTCGTCTTTTTCCACGCTTTCTTCAGTGCCAAGAAGGCCACAGCCGACATCGCAGAGACGAAGGGGAAGCTTTCCGTCCCATTGGATGATAAAACCAGAGGAGTGCTTGTCAGTTCTTTCTTTGGGTGAGACATGAAATCTTCTCTGCTGTTGTCAGACAGCTGTCTCTTAAACATTGGCCACTGATCACAGCCGGTGAGAGAAGGCAGCGTTGGTTGATATCAAAGGGAAGCGAGAAACAAGTTGATACAGTACAAAAAACAAGTAGTAACTTTATTGAAATTACAATGGATGGTGAAAGAAACCATCAAAGAGAGATTGCAGTTTTTGGACAACAACAGAATTCTATGGGACATGTGCCCTAATAACATCAAGCAGCAGCTATAAGAAGATACACCAACACTTAGCCAGCAGAAAAAGTGTGTCTACCTGTCAAAGTCCGGGCCAAGAGAATTAATTATACATTGTTGCTTTTAGTGGTGGTGTGCTCCCTCTTGAAGTGACTTTTTGCAAATCAACCAAGAGGACTGAGAAGCATCTTGTACAGCCTTATTAAGGGATTGTTATGTCATCGTTATGTCATCATTGTTATGCCTCACAATCAGTTTCAACTGCTTTTGACTGTTTCATTTATTAGGGAAAAAATCCGTGCCACTCACATGCTGGCGCACATGTTACAGTGGTTACCTGATGATTTGCAAAAGTATGCACACCAATCATAAGATTCCTGAACAGTTCACAATCAGGATTTAATCGTACTTTAGCTTGTGAATTGATGCTAAAATAACACAGCTGCTGTCAAGAAAGCCTGGAAACCGGACTGTTCAAATCTTCAGGAAAACAGCACCAACAAACCAGAGAGCAAAACAAATCGGAAATAATGCGTAGGGATCCCCCCTGAAAGTCAGAAAAATGTAACATCACAACCAGAGCAGAATCCCATTTTGTCCAAAGTGTCTTGTGCCCTCTGTGCATCACTGTTTTCTATCTGTCCACCATCCAGACTCCTTATGTCCATGCACCACCTGCCCCTCACGGAGGACTCAGCCGAGGGCACGGCTGTGAACCAAAAGCGGGCTCTGGGTGTGACGGCCGATGGCACCATGTGGATCTACCACCTGGTCCAGTACGCCCAAGTCCTTCTTAAGCAGCCAAAATGCGTCCAGAGCAGCCAGCCTTTCAGCCCCGAGCAGAGACAGGCCTGGGACAGGTAGGAGAGGAAAAAGAACGGCCTATGTGATCCCACAGCACCACAGGATCAAGATAGCATGATACAGCTTAATTCTTCATTTTCATCTAATAGAGCTATTCACATGAATGTTATTGTACAGGTTTAAAGGATAATTCAATTTGGTAATCTTTATATTTCTGTTCACTTACAGGTTCAACAACTACAGTACATTGTTTTAGTTTCACACCTTAAGAGATGTTAATGGCCGTACTTTTTAACACTGTTTAATGAGTGCTACTAAACAAGGAAGGAACGTGTTTGATATCTCTATTTCTACACGTCTCCTTCCAGCATGCTGGAGTCGGTGGCAAACCTGAAGAAGAAATCGAAGAAAGGCCAGACAGCAGAGAGCAGCGCGTTCCAGCAGCTCTTCCTGTTGGTCGGCATGCACCTCTTCAAGGTACTACATACAACACAGCCGTGATACAGGAGTACTGTTGTCTCTAGTGTTTAATTAGTGGAATATGAGCAAAGTAATCCTCTCGACTCCGAATACTGTCATAAATATATTTCTTCTAAAGGCCCCTGAGGAGCTGCTGGACATCATGAAAGACCTGCAGAGCTGTGTTGATAAAGCCCAGGAGAAGAAAACCAAGAAGAAAAAAAAGAAACAAGGTGAGGCCTCATACACAGTTGGCAGTTCCACCATCATTTCTTTTCACACGTTAAAGAAATAGTTCATTCTTGACACTTCAGAAATGTTTCAGTATAATTAGTGTATGTGGTACGGTGTCATTCAAATAGTTTGCAGTTGTTGGGTGGTTGTAAAAGCTCTTGACCACATCTATCAGCTGTATACAAGAAATGACCCCATTACATTCACATATGCAAACCATGACATGCAGCTGGTAACTACTAAATTAACCTTGAGTTGTGATTGTTTCTGAGGAGAGAAGAGTGAACTCGCATGCTCACATTTCAGTTTTAGTTTTTAAGGTACACACATTTTGTTGTGAATGATGATTAGGTAAAGCTGTACAAACCAATATTTTTATTTTAACAATGGATCGAATGTTTCCCTCAGTGTTTTAGTGTTTTTCAGCTCATTGTTTTGGTTTTATACATTTATACTTATACATTTTATACATTCAGACTACTAAAGAGTCCGATTTTTCCATCAGAAGTTGCTGGAAACCAAAGCGGTATAGTAGTAGTAGTATATAGTGAATATACAGTGTACATTTGTCAAGTTGCCAAGAATGTGACTGCAGATGAAAGGTAATATTATCCTGTGTCTGCTAGAAGCAACTCTGTGCTAACACATTTTTCCATTATCGACTTTGTAAAGTGTCAATATGTCAGACATTGTGCTTACAGCTTGTTCCTAGGCACCCAAGTGTTGAAAGAAATCAGTTAGTACTGCTTTAAAGTGTATGGATGTGTGGATTTTCCCTGATGCAGCCACAGAGCAGGAGGAGGAACCTGATTGGGCGGAGGTGATGGTGGACATCTTGTTGTCCCTGCTGTCCCAGCCGAGCCGACATATCAGACAGGTCTGCAAAACTGTCTTCTCCTCCATCTGCCCCCATGTTACCGCAGCAGCCCTCACCGCCATCTTGGATGTAAGTAACATGTACAACATTGTCAAATGCTCAAGCAAAATCCAATTTTGACACCAACTGTCAGCAATGTTCGACAAAATGTTTTTACAGGTAGACATGATAAAGTTCCTCTGTAGACCAGTGATGTCATTTTAATGAGACATAAGATACTGGCCCAGCCACAAGGGCCAATTACTTTGGTTTTCTTGAGTTTTCTGCCACATCTTGTGTTTCTCAGAAGAAGGGGTTCGCTCGGTTGTCAAGGAGATGGTTTAGTTGTTATCATGTGACCGTAGTATAGAATTTCAGTCACCTGATAAAAGGAATATATAACATATATATTTTAATTTGCTATGATTTGTTGACTTTGTGTAAGAACAGAAACTAGATTCCATTTTAATAATCTGCATTAATGGCCAATATCCAGCTGGTCAATGTAGTTTTTAGGAAATGGTACTCAGATAGGAGGAACTAGTGCATTTGTTCTGGACTATTTTCAGCCGTGGATTAATACACATTTGATACCGCAGTGTGCATTTACAGAAGCAGGACAGTGTGTGTGTGTGTGGGACTAACTCAAAATAAGCTCCAGGAGCGTGTGACTCAGTGCAACAGTGGGAGTCACTGCTGTGTGTGTTTTTAAATAGTGTTTGGACAACAATGGAGCACTGATGGCACAGAGGAATAAGATGTATCAGTCTTTGGCATTTCCATTGTTAAAATCCTGATATTTAAGGTGGATCCTTTTGTTTTATTGTTGGCATCTAGACAGAGGGAACAGTAGAGCAAGAGAGAATAGAAACTCAAACTTTATGGAGCGCCTCTTTCAGTCTCCACAATGGCTGCATGTATGTAGAGAGTGTGGCGTGTGTCATACACAGGTCTTCTGTATAAAAAAGCCTGCCACTACGACGCTAACTAGATCAGCATCACAAAATGGACGGATGGACAACTTTCTTGTTTGCTAACTGCCCAGATAATCAGTGTTACTAAATCTCTAATGGTATTCAAAGTCATGTGTGTTGCACTGGCAGCTTTGTAAATGATTGTAACGATGGTGTTTTTGGGACTCTGCGTAGGTTTTGGACCCAGAGAATAATGACGAGGAGGACAGCGCTGTGGTCGTCACTGACGACAACGACACCAACAAAGCCCAGAAGAAGAAATCAAAGGAAGAAGATGGTGAGGAACATGATGAGGAAATGGAGGTCAGTACTTCTCTTACGTAGTCACAACTTATCTTCTTTTGTCATCTGATCAATATCATCAGCTTACCGTCTTACATTTTGTATCGTACTGTGTGCTACCCACACCCACAAGAGTTTTCTTTTATTAGATTTTTAATAAAGACACTTAGACTTTTATTACTGATTAGACTAAATAAATGCATGTGTCTTTACTGTTAGTTTTTGTAGTGTTTTAGGAGTAACGTTTGATACTGATGTCCTCGAACATGTGGTTATGGCTCTTCCAGGATGACACGTCAGACAGAGCAGATGAAGACTCTGACAGTGATGAGGATGATGAGGCAATGGAAGAGGAGGAGGAGGAAGAAGAGGAAGAGGGGGAAGAGGATGAGGAGGATGAGGAGGAGGATGAGGAGGAGGAGGTGGAGGGGATGGAGCAAGAGGTGGACCAAAATTTCCGTTTGGAGTTGATGAAGGTGTTGCAGCAGCAGAATGCTCTGGTGGGTGTTCAGGCTTTCAGCTTGGCCTGATGTCAGGGGTTTATGTGTTTTTTTTATTTTTTAGGTAATGATTATTTGAACTAACATTAATTGACTTTGTTGGCCACTTGAGGGCAGTACAACAATTTGTAATCTCAAAGAAATCTTAATACAGCTAGGCCCATTTAATCATGTCCTTGTCTCTTAAGTAGAGAGGAGAAAGGTGATCAAGCCACAACTGACTCTACAGCATAAATGCAGTGTAATATTGTGTTAAAGAGGTATGTGTTGTAACCACATGTCCTCTGTTGACCTGTATGTTCAGGCCACAGAGGAGGATGGCAGCAGTGATGAAGATCTGGATGATGAAGCCATGATGGAGCTGGATAAGAGCCTGTCGGCGCTGTTCTCAGAGCAGAAGAAAAAGACCCAGGCCAAGAAGGATGAGAAGTCCAAACTACAGAAAGAGAAGACTCTGGTCCGAGACTTTAAGATCAAGGTACTGTTTCCTCATTCTGCGACTTTATAACGGACTCCTAAACAGTTTGGAAAATGTGCTTTGCTGGAGTCAGGTGATGATTTAAAGTGAAAAAATAACACCTTTCACCAACCCCAAGCCTGTGTGGCTCCTTTCTTTTGGCTGTTGTAGGTGTTAGACCTCATCGAGGTGTTCGTGGCCCGGCAGGCTGGCAGTCCTCTCGTGTTGGGTTTGGTGGAGCCTCTGCTCACCATCATCGACAGAGGAATGAGCGGCGACAGCCACCAGCAGGAGCAGGATTTCCTCCGCCGAGCTGCAGACATCTTCAGGTAACGAGCCTCAGCTGTGCACTGAGGTGATTCACAGCGTCTGTGTCTGTCACTCATTCAGTGTGTGTTGTCTCCACCCCTGGTGTTTTGTTTTTTTTTTGGGGTTTTTTTTTCCTGTTGGTTTACGTGATTGATGTCAAGTTTTTGTCCACCAGAATTTTTCTGTGTTTTCTAAACCTTAAATTTTCAAATTAAAAGCTGACATCTCATATTTAAACAAAATCACACCTCTGCCCACTTAATGATGGAGGGCTTATCACTCCACCTTCCACTGTGGTGGTTTGTAACAACTATAATTGTTCTGAAGCTTTTTTGCCTAAAATGGATGTCCGAACACATCCTGTGTCTGGGCCAAGCTGGTGTCTACTGAACCTGAAGCAAATCAACAAAGACTCAGCTACAGATTCAAACATCTAGGTCTTTGGATCGGATGTCGTAGCCATTTACTGATCCTTACTTTTTGTGTAATATTTTTTTTCAGGAACCAGCTGTGTAGATCCAAAGTTTACTGCAGGACTGTTGGTGACAGACAGGGGGAGCTCCATGACCTGCTGGACAAACTGATGACTAAAACCCAGAAACTGTCTGACTCCTCAGTCTGCCTCTACTACTTCAGGTACAGCTTACTGTGTAATAACTGATCTGAAAATAAAATTATGCTAAACTCGGTCTTCATGAGCAGGATGAATTTGCATATTTGTAAGACCTGTAGGTGTTTAAACGTCCACTTTGACTCAAATGTCTGTTCCAAGGTCTGGAATGAAATGTCGCATAATTTGAGTCTGTTGTGAACAGTCCTGGAAATCGTGCCGTGGGTGATTTTGTATTTTACTGATGTTCTGTCCTTGCAGTGCGTCTCTGTACGTGGTGAAAGTGCTGCGAGGAGCTCCTCCTGCTGAGACCAAAGAGGAGCAGACTGCCGAGAAAGCTGCAGCAAACGACGTATGTTTATCACAAACCGATTCATGTGTCTCCTTTGATTCCAACCGCTCTCAGAATCGGAAGAAAAATAAGACCAGCAAACCAGTTAGTAGCCTGATGAGACAGTGTGTGAGGTGTTGCTGCAGGTCAGCATGGTTGAGACTACATTTAAGCTTTACCCAAAACAAATCACACAGAGGTCAGGCCAAGCTTTTCTTTTCTATTTTATTTTAAATCGCAAAGTTCATCAGTAGACAAATGGAAATTGAATATTTTCATGGAATGTAAATCTTACCGTCGCATTTTCATCCGTCATATGATGTCCAGCTTTGCACCAAATAGATTCCAGGTCTGTTCCTGTACTTTAATGGGCCAGGAAGTGGGTCAGTGCTGGATAACTTGGCCCCTTTTAACCGGAGTCTCTTTGTCACACAGATTTCTTGTTCTCGTTTCATTTTTTTTCTTCATCCATATTGGAGTTGAAATGATTAGTTGACTTATCAATTAGTTGATAATCTACTCAGTCATTTTTTTTTTTAATCACCAAACTTGTGTGGTGTCAGCTCCTTAAATGTGATTGTAAATGGTTTTCTTTATTGTCTGTGCAAACAGCAAGCTGAACTTGTTTTGGGTTGTTGGTCAGACAAAACAGGGAATTTGAGGATGACACATTGGGCTCTGGGAAATAGCGATAGACATTTTTCTTACTTGAGAAAATAATCAGATTAATTGTTAATCAAAATGATTGTTAGTCGCAGCCATAATATGTCTGTTCATTTCAATTCTCTATGTGAAAGAAAGCTCCAGTGTGTGCAGCTGTCTTCAAATATTTCTACAGTGGGTCTACACCACCATACAGTTGTAGCAGGATGCTGCCGTCAGACGCTGTTCCCTTCTGTTCCTCTTTAGGACGCCCTGATCACACTCATTCATTTACATTCATGCCTCCGTCGACCGAAAGTCTGATGGTGGGTCGTCTGTGTCTGTGTTTGTGTTTGTGTTTGTGTGTGCAGTTGATGTTCATGGGGAATGTGGATGTGGATCGGGTCTCCACCATCTTCAGAGAGGCTCTGACCTCCTTCATGAGCAGGAGGAAGAGCCCTCTGACCACTCAGATGTTCACAGACTTGTTCAACAGATTCCCCGTGAGTACAGAGACGCGTCTCATTCGGAAAACAGAAGTTAGTTCAGGACACCGCGGGGACAGAGGGCAAGTCTCTGGTGGTAGTAACTAATGCAGCTTATGTGTTGTTTTCCAGGTTTTGTGTGTGAATCTGTTGGATACAGCAGTGCAACACATCACATCTGCTGTCAGAGAACACCAGAAGGTAAAGATGTTCACTCTTTTCTACTGCAGGAACAGTTATGTGGCTAAATTTCTGATTGAAAAACAACAGCGAGACAATGAAGGAGGAAGTAAAACAAAAATCTAATGTTATTTGCTGATTGATTGTCTGTGAATGTGCAGGTTGGTTTGGTCAAAAAACAACCAGGAATAAAGACTTATGGTCTCTGCTTTGGACAAAGGCATCTCAACTCCAACATAAAGTCACACAAGAGTAAACTAAACGATTACAACACAGATGTCGAGGCTCATGATTAGTTTTCAATTCAGCTGTTGTAGTGCAGTAGATGAACTAGATTAGTTTCTGATTCAGTTTATGAGTTTTGGATCCTGTGTTGGATCCTCAGTCACCAAAACAAAAAAAAATAAAAATAAAACCAACAATGTGTTAGTCCTTCTCTAGTCTTTAGTTTTTAGCACATGATGTATAGATAGAAGGAAATTGTTTTATATGTTGGGGACTACTTTCATCTGCAGATTAATACTGTACAGCGTATGTGTGATTGAGTCAAATTAAACTACCGTGTGTTCATGGTAATGAAGGAAGGAAGGAAGGAACGTGTCACCCAGTGTAACATGTAGCTCACTGATGTGTGTTTTTTATAGTTTTCGGACAATGGAGCTCCATGGCACTGAGGACTAGGCTGTAACAGGGTCATATAGAGACAATATATATATATCGATAGATATATATATAAACAATTGTTAGTAGGATCTATTCCCAATTCTATTACGATGGGATTTGTTGACAATAAATAAATAATGTAGAATGTTGACAAAAATATAGAATATCACCAGACTTATGCCTTTAAGAAGCTACCTTGACAATCTACATTTTTCTGGTGATAGAATAACTTTGGTCAAAATGAATATGTTTCCTGAAATAAACTCCCAATTCCAATGTCTCCCAGTCTTTTCAGAAAATCTCTTTTCAACAGTTTAAATAGGCAGAATTCCTACTTTTTCTTGAACAAGAAACTGCCTTCCATTAAACAGTGTTCTCTCTACTGCTGGCCTTATTACATTAGGGCACTGTGTAATGGACAAAACCTGACGTCACTGCCCACTTGTGGACAATTATAGATAATGTAGCTGCAGGATTAGTCACTCTGATAGCGTCATTATGCCCACAAGTACCACAATTACAACCAACGTCCAGCTGCACTTTGAACCCAGCTTTCTAACATTTGATCAAAATATGGAATCAGCCATGTATTTATCATCGTTTAAAGAGTTCTGACTTCCTCCCTCCGTCTCAGCTGCTAGATATTCATGTATTACAAGCTCCTTCTACTGTTCAGTTCATATGTTAGACTTCCTGTTGATGGACGTTGTGTGTGTGTGTGTGTGTGTGTGTTTAGGGCCAAGCGTGTGTGTTGGTGTTGCGGGCGCTGCAGAGCAGGGAGGTTCAGCAGCTGCTGAGCGGCGCTCCATGGACAGAGCTCTGTGTGAAGATCACAGGTCAGCTAGCAGCGGTAAGTCAGCACGGCTCTCCATCACAGTCCTGAGATACATAGCAGGGTTAACACCCACCATGAGCAGCAGCTACACGCAGGGAGTCAGGAAATAAGATTATTTGTTTAGGTAATATCTGAATTTTACAGAAGGTTACAGGAACTCAACAGTGTGTTTATACAACTTGTAGCACACATTTACACGGTGGTTTTCAGTCAAGTTGTAGTGGAAACAACACTGATACAATACCAATGCTCTTTCGTTCCAAAATGTATGTGTAAATATCTGCATAGAACAGATTTGAAGTCATATTTCCATGCATAAGATTGATTGGAAGCACGAGGCTGTAACTAATTCCTCACCACGAGTAGAAGCATCCATACGCCAACATCCTTTAGGGTTGTGCAGATTTTAATTATATTGTTCTCAAAGTTAATGAGATTGCACCGTGCTGTGATAAATGATAATTAGAGCCAATACTGCATTCACTGTCCTCTGTGTGTCCTTGAGACAGCTGAGGGTAAAGACAAGCATAATTACAAGCTTCTGCAATTCTTCACCAAACCACTTCACTCCTGTGTCGCCCCGTCTTCTTCCTCCCAGACAAAACACAGACCTGCATAACAAGACAACATAACTCCTCTGCAGTATTTCTTTCTTCCTCTTTTCTTTTTTTTTTTTTTGTTCCAGTTGCTAAATGTTTGTTGTCATAAGGTGTAATGTCAGTCCTTGATCTCTGAGCTACAATCAAAATGACTTTCTGACAAAAACTGCAGGGTAACACTTTACTTTCAGTCCCCCTGTTTATGTTTAATAAGATGTAAGTGTTTATTAATGTATTTCTCAGTGACTATAACTTCTTATGTCGACACCCATAATTAGAGGTTGGTGTACACAGATACTGAATGACAATATAGTAAAACACAGTTGGGTCTAAGATGCTGACCATTTAATCACAACATCCCCACTTTTATTCCACCTTTCGTTGCGTGTCATCCCCTCTTTCTCTCACTGCCCTCATTTCAAGTCAAATCTCTGCCACTTCCTCTGTGATAAAGGCATAAAAGTGTCCCGTAAATACTTTAAATTGGATTTATTGAGAAGCACGTGCAGCAAGCGATGTTTTAGTATCAGCGGTGGTTTGATGTCATTAAGTCATCATAGTAAATTAATGGCACACAACAGAACGCAAACAAGTTTACAAACAAAAGTACACAGGCTGGGGCGTCGCATAGCGCAGTGGGTTACGCAGGTGCCCCATATATATAGAGGCTACAGTCCTCACTGCAGCTGGCCCCCGGCTCGACTCCCGCATCGGACAGCCCTTTCCTGCGTGTCATTCCCCCTCTCTCTGCCTCCCCATTTCCTGTCTCTCTACTGTCCTGTCCATTAAAGGCACAAAAAGCCCCAAAAAAAATATTCTAAAAGTACACAGGCAATTCATTTACACACATTATAAAAAGTCTAAAAATATAAATGCGTCAATGTTAAAATGCACTAGGATTAATGGCAGTGGCCAGTCCATAGCTGACCAACAATACCCAAACCAAACTTCCCTCTATTTGTTTTACATATAGGCAATCTAATAATAATAATAATAATAATAATGATAATTTGGAGCACAACAAGAATACAAGGAACAAGAATAGCAGTCTAACTCGTGTCGTCTTCTTTTCTCAGAGTCTTCAGCTGGTGGGTCAAACTGAGAGCAAGGTGGTGAAAGAGAAGGTGGTGAAAACCCTGGAGCTCTGTCAGTTCCTGGTTAAGCACATTCACCAGCAGGTAGGTTGGTCTGTGCCTGTGGGGATGAAATCACGGGAGGGAGCTGTTCATATGGTTTGAGTCCAGACTTTCAATCTCTCCACTGTGTAGAAGCTGACTGTGGACCTGGAGCCAGTACAGAAGGTCCTGCTGTCCCTGACCAGCGTCATCACGTTCAAGAAGACCGGCAAGCTGGAAGACACCTACTGGGCTGTGATGAAACACTTTGGAGTCATGTAAGTTGATGTGGTTTCTATAATGGCCGCCGCAACTTCAAAAACGGGTGCATAAGAAACTTTTTGCCCTTTTTTTACTTTATTTTATTTTATTTTTTGTTTGTGTGTCAGAGCATTTGGACTGGCGGTGCAGGGACAGGGTACAGCTGTACGGCAGACTGTGAATTAAATCATCTTGAATACAGGGATGCATGACTACATGTATTGATCTTTCTTTCATCCACCCGCTGTGATGCTTTTCCTGCAGTCTTTTGTCCTGCACACGCTCGCATGTAAAAAGCCGATAAGAAATCTGGTTACGTGTATACACGGACAAGAAATCAACATTCTCTCTGAGATATATCTCGCCGGGTAAATCAGATTTCCAGGAAACAGGGTTTCTTGTTTACATGACACTGGAGAAATCGGATTACTGCAAACAGCTGACAGTAGACTGGTTATTCAAGAGCATGTAAACACACGCGATGTTTCTTCGCTCTGTAGCAGCAGTGTACAGTTGATGATAAAACTCTACCAACAACACCAGTGTATCCTCCTTGCACAGCAGCAGTTGTCATTGCCACCAATGTAATGCTCGGGAGGTAAACGATAGAATTAGCACAACCCTTCCCTGACAAGATGTATTTACATGGCACATTTGCTTGCATGTGTTTGATAGGCCAGCGCAAACCGCTGTATTGCAGGGTCATCTGACAACAAAGTTGAACCTGGCTCAGCTTTTCTGTTACTGCACAACCCTGCATTTTTTTTTTTTTTTTGCCAAAGCAGCATCTCATTGAAGTGAAGGAAGGGGCTGTGTTATTTTTATGCAGTTCTCATGTTTGTCTGACCTAGATACTTATAGCCAAATCTTAGTTGTGGTTTCTTCATTTGGATGTTTTGTTTTTTTCAGTTTGTGTGATTAGGATTAGGGTTGGGGAAGTAATTTCTACAGAAATATAATGAATGAGACCATGTAACTGAGGGTTTGGAAGGGTTAGAAGTTATAGCAGCATTTTGACAATGCTAAAAGGCAAGTGCTTCCTCATTCTGTGGCAGAGCTGTTCAGAGATTTTAAACCTTAAGTGCGAGAGCTGAAAAAGATCTGACACCCCACTTACAAAAAGAACCAGTCCCTCTACAGCACCGAGTGAAAGACACTCAGAGATATTATCTTCTTTTTTAACACCACAGACTGAAGTTCAGGGTTGCTGACTGAGATTCATTTTGATTCATGATTCAGTTTTTGATGATTGGAGTCGGTAGCAATGTTTTTCTTTCCTGGTCCATTTGACTAATGTAAAATCACCACTCAGGTCAGTAACTGTTTGAAAGTAATATAACCAATAAATAGACTTATCTCCATACAAAATGTTAAAGTGGTGTGATGGCTTTAGCACAAGTGTCTGCTCAAACAAAATAGTTTGATTAAAAGCTTTTAATATCAATATCTGCTGAAACTAGATTTTTTTTTATAACTTAAATTGATACATTTTTAAAGGATGATGTATGTATGTTGATGCCTCTGATTGATAAGTTGAATCAGCTCTTCCATCATTTGTTACATGAGCCTCTCTTTACCACAGGGCTTATGAAATACGAGGTTTCTTCTTTTCCTTCTTTATTTTTTGACTTTTTATTTTCTTGTTTTGCATGAAAGCCGTCATGTTGACCTTGAATGTGTTCATGTTCACATTCGCAGGAAACCCAAGGTAGAAAAGACAAAGTCTGACAAGGAGGCCGACCAACAGCCAGTTTCCAAGAAGAAGAAGAAAGGCTTTCTACCTGACACAAAAAAGCGTAAAATGCGCAAGAAGCCTGTTTTAGAGCCAGCAGCAGACAACTCAACTCCCACAGACAAACCAGGGGCAGCCAAAGGACAGGCCAAAAAGAAACATGACAAGAAAACAAAGCAGAAACGACCAGCCGACGGCGCAGCAGCTTCTCAGCCCAACCCGGCCAAGAAAAGCAAGACACAGTCTGAGAGCAAACCAGCAAAGAAGAAGAAGAAGAAACCCAAACAGAAGAAAGATGGAGCAGGTCAAATGTAAAGCGGACACTGCTATTTTAATGGACACAAAGAAGTTTTTGTTAATTTCTTTTTGAAGAGGCTGTGCTTTCGTCTGTTAATTTTTCTACTGTGCATGCAGTCGACTTCTTGGCTGCAAGTTCTGGCAATATGTTGGTATGTTTCAGTATGAAATAATTCCATATTGAAATTGTCAGATGTTTGGGAAGTGAATTAAGACACATTATTTTTCTAATGTGTGGCTCTTGATTAAATAAATATATCTACAACAAGTTAACTTCTCTTCCCAAAAATCCATCACAAACCTGCTCCCATGCCCTTCATCATCACTTGAAAATGAGAGGATGGTCTTCATTTTTTTTTTAAGGTTGATAACAATGTAAGGTTGATACCTGTCATGGCCTGGAGTTGAAAATCAAAATTTATAAAAATAAAAAATTTGATATACAGCACTGTGCAAAGGTTTTGGGCCCTTAAAAGTAAAGTTAACTTCATACAAAGTTCAGTAAAGACAAAAAAACTAAATTAAATTGGTATTTGTTGTGACCATCCTTTGACTATTAGGACTTGTGCACAGTTTTTCAAGGTATTTGGCAGGTAGGTTGTTGGAAGCATCTTGGAGAAGCATCTTGGAAAACTTGCCACAGTTCGTCTGTCACAGTGTCTTCTGTCTCTTCATGTAAGTCCAGACTGACAACATGATGCTGAGATCAGGACTCTGTGGGAGCACCGACCATCTGTTACAGGACTTCTTGTTCTTCTTGTTACTGAAGATGGTTCTTTATGACTCATGAATCAGAATCGAAACATCTCAGGTGCCTAAAACTTTTGCGCAGCACTGTTTATTTTGTCAAAAAATAACGAGAATACATCTGTAAAGTACTTGCCATGTGAAGTAGGATGTAAACTTCCCCCAGGTTGCTAAAACCTGATTCCCAGGAAAAACACCAAGGACATGGCCTCAGTGTTCTCAGTTGTATTGATTGTACAGCAGCTACTTTAACTAGATACCATTAGTCAAAAAGTATAAACCTTGTGGTATTCTATATTTTTGTTAACCAACAAAACCAACAATGTGTTTGTCCGTCTTAGTGTGCTCTGACTTCCCTTCTCTGTCTGTGGCTCACAGCCCAAAGTCCACCGGTCAATAGTGAAAACAAACTTTAATAAAAAAAAGTCACAAATAAATAGTGTCATTTTTATAAAAATGCTCAATCATTTCTGTAAACGGCTCGTCAGTGTAGTTTTTACATTCCTCAAACAGGCGTTAATACAGGAACATTTGTTTGGGACTGTTTTCAGCTGCAAATTAATACACATTTGGTCTAGTGAGTACTCTCTGCCAGCAGGACAGGGTATGTGAGGTTGACCCAACTGCAGTGGTCCCATTGGTAGTGACAGAAGATATCAGCTTGTGCAACTGTGGCTCTTTGATGTGTTTTTAAATAGTTTTTGGACAATGGAACAATGGAGCAATGGAGCTCAGAGGCACAGAGGAATAAGATGCATCAAGCTTGGCCTACACAGACAGGACTTTTTTTGTAGGTTTTGGGGGAATTTATGGATCAGTACAAAATAATAGATTATGAACTTGTATATAAAACTCATCTTTTTTGTAAGTTGGGTGAACTAAAAATGTAACTTGTCACTGGCCAAAATGAGTTTTCTATCCCTGCCAAGTTTATTCATTGTAAGAGACCTTACCAAAACATCTGGGAGAAGCTGTGTCACATTTCACCTTTCTGTGTCACATGTATGGATTTACAGAAATGCAACCCCATTACACAACATTGGTATTAGGAAAAATATCACAAGCCTCTGCGCAGGATTTGATTGCAAGCCTTTGTGTTGTAAACTAAGATGAGCAGTCATACAGAACTGTAATTCACCTGTCAAAAAAATGATGTAGTGTCCCACAAATGGATTACTATACAGGACATGAAGCCATGCGGCCATAAATCTACAGGAGTGTCAGGCAAGGCAGCAGACCCATCCATCAGTAATCTCATCTTAAAGTTCCTCTTCACTGCAGGAACCTTTAGTGGTGGGAATTAACAGGAGCCATCTTACATCCAAGTTGTTGTTTGGTCCTGTGCTGGAAACGACTGTGTACTGCAGGGTTCTGTTCTCAGAGTGCAGAGGAGCCAGGATGTGCAGTGAGTTTGTACATGGCAGGTAAGAGGACCTGCCTGCCTAGTGGTGTATTTGTCCTAATGTCAAAGTATTAATCTTTTTAATCATAGACTGTATATCTCTCTCTCTCTCTCTCTCTCTCTCTCATACAGTTTATAACATCAATAATGCATCTGCAAACAGCTGTTTTTGGCGAAAAGGCTCTGAAAAACCCACTGTACAATACCTGCTGAGCACCAAACAGCAGGCAATGTTAGATACTAGCAGTGAACACAGTAGAGCATTTAGCAGCCAGATATTTCCCTAAGGAGTTGGTAGAGACCAAAAACAAGAGCTAAAAAGTGAATATTGGTCTTGCATTCATTGGGTTTCAACATACATGATTCCAACTGAATGCTAATGGTGCTTCCGATCTGCTGGATGCATAAATAAGCAATATTTATGAGTGTTGTGTTTCCACTGTCACCAGACGGCCAAAATAATCCATTACTGCAAAGTTGAATCAGTTTAAATTAACATTTACATCATTAGAATGCAACAGCAGATTGCCTTTAAACTTGCTGTCATGTACCCAGAGGGATGATATCAAATGTCTTTGGTGGCCCCGCAATTTTTCCTGAGGCTTAATATTCCTCTAGTGAAAAAGAAATATCAAAATCTAACAGGCAGAATGCCATGAAGATTACTGAGCACATTCATGGTCACATTCACATTTTAGTAATCCCATGAGCTTTCCTTCTAACATCGGGCAAAAATGTCATTTTTGTGCAAGAAGCATTTAGAAAGATCTGACACCAAAGAGCAATTTAAAGACTGATATTGTCATCCATAGACCCACACTGTGGCTAGCCATCGCTAAAAATACTGGGAAGTAAAGCAATATAACTCCTGTAGCGCCATTTCAGTGACCCTTTGACGTCCATTTAAATAGTTCCCTAAGAACTAATTTATCTCTCAGTGAGGTGTATGGTTGTTGTATCAGTAATGGCTCTTGTCAAAATGGTGTCATGACAGGAGAATGAGGGCAAACAACTGTATGCGTTTCAAGTGGTATTACTAAGAATGCCCAATAGCTCCAACAAAAAGTTTAAAAATAAAGCTTTCACCACAGAAAAATGATACAGTCTTTGAAAAAGGGTGATTTGATATTCCTTCTTTGGCCCACAGAGCAGTGGAGGTACTTGTCTGAGTGCTTGGTAACCTCACAGTCACAGCTTGAACCTGCAGCAATGAAGCATATAAACAGACACCGGTGGTGACAAATCATCTACCTCAAACCGTGACGGCAGGGGTGAGAACAGGAGCAGTGGTGTCCTCTCTCTCTGACAGCGAACTGTCACTTGTCATCACTCCGAGCTGAGCTATAGAGTGCAGAGCCAATCTGCTAATACAGCTCAGTGGAATAATCAGAGTGAGCTGTAAAGTCGAGGGTAAAGCCTCATAAATATGTGGAAGCTGTAAATGAATGCAGGCCTGATTCATCCCTTTACCTCATGAAATATTTTACTTCCTATGGAATCATGCTGTAAAATGCGGACTGTGAATTTTTCCAATCTATAGTGCAGTGGACTGTGGAGTGTTTATCATTCCAGTTTTTTGTCTTCACCCATATTGCTTTAGTTAAAGTTTGGCCCTTTGGAGTCTGATGCTCCACAGCAGGAAGTTTGGCAGGCATGATGGCAGGGTGTTAGTTTTATATTGAGTGCAACCGGAAACCCATTAATTAGTGCACCCAGTAGTTTACTTGCCAGGCCTTGTAGGAACAACCAGAGTTGTTCTACTGCTACTTGGAGGAGGCCCAAATCTGCATGCATCACAAAGTCTGATTCCCTTGTTAAATACTGCTATGCTGAAATCTTTCTGTTCCTGCAGTAATAATTTAAAGGACCATACTCATTTTCTTCCATGTCTCTTGTCACTATCTACAAAGCTCATGCTGTATAATTTATAATAATGCTGACCTTCTCCAAAGCAAGTTTGAAGTGCAAGTCTGTGTTCAACAAAGGAACTGTCTGGCACTTGATGGCAAACCAAACCAGTGACTGCCAACTCAAGCAAGTCTCGAGTGTCTGCAAGTTGATCTTCATAGCTTACAGAAATGAAAGGAAATCAATGGTTGTCTGGAAACACACTCAAAAAAGGGGTAAGAAGCAGTGAATACTGTACATCCTCAACAGATTAGATTAAAAAATGATTCACTTAGACAGTCCAAACCATGTTTCAAAAGCCAAGGTTACTCCAATCACTTCAATAACAAGAAGAAGTGAACATGTTTAAATAAAATCTAAAACCCTCAGAGCTTTTCTAAAAGCCCACCCTGACAGGCTACACTTACTAGAGCCTTACCAATAGTGGGGTTAAAAATGTGAATGTTGTCTTGTGAGTGGCACTAGGGAAAGGTCAGGAGATTAAATAGATAAAAGTTAAAGTAAGTGAAACGTTTTTCGATATAGCACTTTTCAAAACCAATGATTTCTCCAGTTAGGAGCATGAGTGCTCACCGGATTTAACTACATATTTTCCTATTATGTGCTCCTACTCAAATGTTTATAAGTTCTACTAACTGAAGACCAATTGCCTGAGGTGACACACACAATACACTGAACCATAATAATGCTGTAATAAAAAACCACAGAGGACCTAATCCACTCACTGGCCAACCAATGCCACTTGCAAAGTCTGTCTGCAGCACAGAGGAGAAGACCTCCTGGGACAACAAAACCCTGAAAACTGGCCTCATTAATTCTAAATTAGGCTATACACAATAACTAGGCTATTCCCAGAGCAAACTTAAATCACACAAAAGTCTCTCCCTCTGTGTCTTTCTGTAATGCAACTCTTTATGTGTGACAATAAATAACAGCAGTCCTAATTCATGTATCCCCAAATAATCATCTCATTTATTCCCAACCAGTTACCACTGATCTCCATAACTTTCTAGCCACTATCCTTCATTCATTCCTAGCCACTGGCCTCCATCCATTCTTACTCACTGACATCCATCCATCCCTACCAACTGGCCTTCATTCATTCCTACCCACTGACATCCATCCATTCCTACTCACTGACCTCCATTCATTCCTAACCAATTATCTCCATCCATTACTGACAACTTACCACCACTGACCCTCATTCATTCTTTGCCACTGCCCTCCTTCCATCCCTAGCTACTGAGTTCCGTTCATTTCTCCAACTAATCCTGGCCATTGACCCTCACCTATTCCTAGTCACTGACCTTTATCCATTTCAGCCACTGATCTCCCTCCATTCCTAGCTACTGACCATCATCCATGCCTGGCCACTGAACTCCATCCATTCCTAGCTACTAACCTCCATCTATGCCGAGCTACTGACCTCCATCCATTCCTAGTCACTGACTCCAATTCAGTCCTAGCCACTGACCTTTATCCTTTCCTAACTACTGACCTCCATCCATCCATCTCCAACTGCCAATATCCACCTATTCGCTGTTATCCTCCATCCATCCCTGGTCTTTCACATCCATTTCTTGCCTCTGACAACCAGCCTCCTTCATCCTTCATCCTACCTTGTCGTGAATTGGAAGACATGCTTTCTCCAAACAAATGAACCTCACAACCACGTCAGAGAGATGTGTATTTCTATATGATGGATGGTAAGCAGAAATATAGTAATTTTATCAGATCATGATTACAAAATACTGTATTTTTTCTTGCTAAAACATGTATGATGTTGTGTATCCTAATCTATAAATTGTCCTGAAGGAAACATATGTAGAATGCATTACTCATCTTTCATTGACTTACTTCCAATTTCCCTGCGAAGATAAATGGTTTCATTCTGTTGCACTTATGCCAATGAGATAAGATAGACAGGCAGTCTGTCAGTGCATCTTCCAGAGCTGGAGCCTTGCCAAAGACTACTTCATATTCCCAGGCCTTTTTGCTGGGGACAATTAGGAACATGGTGTCCTGGTACCTGGCCAACACACTGACTGATGCTGATTCACTTCCACTGACCTCCAATGAGACATGCTGTGGCGTCATCACATGCTGAGGCTGTAGAGATTAAAAATGGCACTGCTACGGATAACCTTCATGTCAATAAGTCACTGGAAGATTGATATTATCTACACACTAAACCTTGTTGTATATGCAGTGGATGAGACTGTATGCGACAGACATACAGTACATTTAGTTCATATGGTCCTATATATATATATATAGTACACAAATGATCTATGCACTGATATGGTTCTTTTGTAGCTATTAGAGACCCTGTACAAATTCTATGGATCTCCCCTGGGAAGGTCATTTGTACTTGTTTAGTGGAATGAAAACAGGTGATGAACTGAAAATCCATCCAAACATTTGCATAGTATCAAATGTCACCTATACTGTATAATATTGAAAGAATGGTGGGAAATTTTAGCAGTCAATTCAATATACTGTGTGGTTGCACATTTATCTAAGTAGTAGCATTTGGGTTTATTGACTAATGGTCAAGAGGCTACAAGTGTTTAAGATTACTGACACATTCAAAGGATTAACATAATGTAAGTATTTATTTATAAACTTTGAATATTACATATTTTCCTTTGATAAGGCAGATTATATGAACTCCAGAAAGATGATGTTACTGTAAAACATTCCAGCTCTCATAATGGCATACATTTACAGTGAACTCATATAATTAATGACACTGAATTTCTATTAGGTCCACTATGATGCAATATGAAGGATCATGAAAGAAAAAAAAAAGATTGGCTTGAACTGAAGCCCTCTGTTGGAAGGATTCTCAATTTATTACATTTCAGAGAATACATTAAAAATACTCAAAAATGAAAATACTGTATTAGCGCAAAAACTTACTATCTGACACGTTAAAGAAAAAAATCTTATGTGCATAACTACAGCAAAAAAGTCTTGCATCCTGTCAGGCTAACTAGAGCTACCTACAGATGTCTAACAGACATTGGAGGACAGTACTTTATGCAAATATGCTAAGTCACTTAATTGAAGGAAAAAATACTATGCAAACAAATAAGCTATTTCTATAGCCTATATGCAGCTTTGCACTGCCTAACAGCACCACAACATCCATTATAGTCTAACTACATACTGGTAGTGTGTCAGAGGACATGCCAAGGCAGATCAGCAAGCCATTATGGTCTGTATTGTGTCATCAACTCTTAATAATTTAACACAACCATGTGTCACATCCTAGGGAGGATTTAAAGTTTGAACATTTTTGAGGTTTAAACAACATTTTAGGCTTGGAAGGAAGAGGAGGTCCAAAAGTCAAAGCAGGCAAATACTTTATACAGTCCCATAAGGAGTTATTGGTCGGCTAAATACTAGTGTAAGAGGAAGGAGTGTGACCACATAGCTAACCTACAGACGGGTGACAAATTAAAGGAAAAAACAACTTAAAGTGTCTTAGTAAGTTGTTGGGTCACCATGTGCCGCCAGAACAGCCTCAATGCGCCTTGGCATTGATTCGACAAGTCTCTGGAACTCTACTGGAGGGATGGAACACCATTCTTCCAAAAGATATTCCCTCATTTGGTGTTCTGACGATGGTGGTGGAGAGCGCTGTCTAACACGTCGGTCCAAAATCTCCCACAGGTGTTCCATTGGGTTGAGATCTGGTGACTGTGGAGGCCATGGCATATGATTCACATCATTTTCATGCTCCTCAAACCATTCAGTGACCTCTTGTGCCCTATGAATGGCATTGTCAACCTGGAAGAGACCACTCCCATCAGGATAGAAATGTTTCATCATAGGATAAAGGTGATCACTCAGAACAACTTTGTATTGATTTTCATTGACCCTTCCCTCTAAGGTGACAAGTGGACCCAAACCATGCCAGCAAAATGCCCCCCACATCATAAGAGAGCCACCGGATCTCCCCTCTAAAGGGGTCAAGAATTCTGGCCTGTACCTTTCTCTTGGTGTATGCCACTCATTCACTCGCCCACCTGTGGAGAATATGGTGAAGAATGACTCATCTGACCATATCACTTTTTTCCACATCTCTACAGACCAGTGCTGATGGTTTTTGCACCACTGAACTCTCAAATGTGCATTCGTCTTTGTAATGAGGGGTTTCTGCACTGCAATCTTACTATATCCCTCTCTATGCAACTGTCGACGGACTGTTCTTGCTGACACAGTCTGACCACGTCCTGCATTGACAATCTCGGTCACCTGAGGAAGAGTTGCTGTTCTGTTTTTCCTTACATATCGCACTAATGCACGTGCATCACGGTCATCAAATGTGCGCTGTCGACCACAATTTCCAACCCTACTTACTGATGTCTTTCCCAAAGAGCTAAATGCAGATGTCACTTTAGTCACTGTTCCGATTGAAACACTGGCCAGTTGAGCAGTCTTTGTGACTGAAGCTCCTGCCATCCTTGCCCCAACAATAAACCCTCTTTCAAAGTCACTTAGATCTTTACCTCTTGTCATCTTGATACAAAATCAGAATCAACTGTGTCTGCTCAGCATTTTTATACATGCCACAGAGCTTGATTGGATGTGAATTGCTTACTTGTACCATGCAGTGCACCTGTGTGGAAGCATCTACATTTGTTGTGTTTCTCCACTCATTTGTTCAGGTTTTTCCTTTAATTTGTCACCCGTCTGGTATTTGCCAATGTAGTACTAGTGTTACCTCTAGGCCTACTGTTCTGCTGAGTATTCTGCATTTATTTTTTCCTGCTGTTTCTAAGTCTACAAGCAGCAGAGATGGGTGTGGGAGTTCTTTGTGCCTTATTGCTTTTCCTGTTAATTCCACAGTCTCATTCCCTGAAGTTGCACTAAGTTAACAGTCAAGGGGAACCGTCTCGTGCAGCGCCTGTTTGTCCTCAGCCGCTGCGGTGACGTCCCCGCTGTCCGTGCTCTGGCACGAGAGCTTCTCCTCACATCTCACCGGTCGGACGATGACGCACGGCCTCGCGGGCTCCCCGCTCGCCCCGGCGCGCGCGGGGCTGCGACTGTCGCGCTCGTATTCCTCCTGCGCGCGCTGGATCTTCCTATTCCGGAGCTTCCTCTTGTGGAAGTGGAACGTTGCCAGGGAAACGAGGATGATCCCCACGAGCACGGCCACCAGCACGAGGAGCGCGAGGGTGGAGGAGAACGGCGGAAAGAGGCTGAGCTGCTCCGCGCAGGTGCCGTTGTTGGCCTGGAGAACCCCGTTACAGCGGTGCAGCGGCACCGACAGTCCCGAGGCCTCAGAGGTTCTGGCTGTCATCCGGTCCACCTTCCCGGTCCACTTTTGTCTCTCTGACCCCAGTACCCTTCGTGCTCTCCGGGCTCAGCGCGGTGACACCGGCCCGCGCATGTGGTTACCTGCACCGAAAAGAAGACACATGAGACCCGCTCATCCAGCTCCAGAGGAGACTGACTATCAAAACCATCAGAAACCCGCCCACAGAGTCTCATTAACTGGCCCAGGCTACTTTAATAAGATAAATCTGAAACAATTAACACAGGAAATGCGCACCGTTTGACACGAAATCACAATGTTCCAAACCCGACAACCCCTCAGTTTAAAAAAAACGGACGTTGTACGATGGGGTATAAGTAAAAAGGACAATAGGCTACAGCATCTATTGTAGCAAAAACGTAGGCCTACAAGATTTAGCCTAACAGGAGCCATTCTTTTTCTTCACTCCACGCAGCAGCGTTTAGGACGAGAATGTCAGCTTTACGCAGAGGGTAATGACTGCATTTGTTAGATCTCAAGCCTATATAGCCAATTTAAATAAAGGGATAAAATAAATAAATTCTTACCTGGTGAAATAGTCAGTAAGGGGAACAGTCCGTGAGTGGAGAGACGATATGTGTAAATGGGAAAACTGGATCGTGGTGACGTATTTCATACAATGTGATGCTGCTGCTGCTGCTGCTGCTGAGCTCCGATCATCCAGGACACTTTGATTGCCGCAATCCGCTCAGTCTGCATCCAGGACAGCACTTTCTCAGGTGAATGCTATACGCACCGGGGGCAAAAATCCCTCAGTGGGCGTCAAAGTGGGTTTTAAAAATGCGATTAGAATAGAGCTGTGTTCTGGTTTTCCTAGAAAAGCGTCCCTCCTCCGGTCATCCGCTGCTCCACTCAGCATCTGAATGAAGAGCTGCAGCTGCATTAAAGGTCCCGTATACCAGTCAGCTGGCGGGGCTGTTTTTTTTTTTTCTTCAGATATAGTCTATGTATTAGCCTACCAACACCAGAGTGCCTTTGTTTCCTTCTAATGGCTGTATTAATAAGTGCTTATGAGTTCTTACTTAAATCAAATAAACACAGAGGTAAATTAGTTTGAATATTATACCCTGATCGGTAACTACTGGCATTCCTGAGGGTGTGGTCAGTCAAATGCTGCAAACCTACATGATTTGAGGCATTTAAGCCTTATTATAAGGGTTGTAGTTAATGTCCAGTTAACATGCATTCATTTTGGGCCAATCTAAACATAGGAGTGTCAATTATTAGCCATTTCTCAAAAATAATAGTATATAAAAGTTGGTAGAAATATATAGAGACATATTCATCACAACTACACCTCTACTCTATAGACATTAATACAGAGGCATTATGGAACATATTGGTAAACATCCATGTGTATTTATCACAAATTTACTGCTGAATATTGCAGACGTTTAGTCAAACCATTAACACCATTGAACATGCAGCTTTCAAAAAAGAATTTACATAATACATGTAAATTTCGTATTATTGAAGTTTTGTCAACCTAAAGCAGCCAGTCTGTAAGATCTCAGCCTTTATTGAACTCCATTCAAGAGTCCCAGTTTCTTACAAAGACTTGAGAGTCTGGAAAAACAGCCATAACGTTTGACACTTCCTCATCTCCACCCATACTTTCTTCCTGATTGAACTTGGATTTTCTGGCTCGATGATGATGAGAGATTAACCCAAATCAGTTATACCGATATTTACCTTCTAGATACACTATTACTTGATAACTGGTAATCTTCAGACTTAAAACAGTAATGAAATTCAGTATGGAATTAAGAAAATGTTCTTAACATATACATAACCCTGTTTAAGCACTAGTTTTCACATTTAAACTACTCATGAATAATAGTTACCCCCTCTGTTTTACGTTTGGTGAAGAGATTAAACCTTTTGCTAAAAAAGTCACTTGAAATAATGTTGAAAACCAGTAATTTAGATCAGCACCAAACTGAGCTCAGCTCCTCCCTTACTGGTAGATTAGTGCAGACAGTGTGACATGCACTCCAAATATAGAAGTGTGGGTGAAGGAGAACACAGTGAGGAGACGTTTCTACAATGAGGCCACACCTTGACCTACTGAGGCTTTAAAGCCTCTGATATCACTTTCCCAAGCAAAAAATACTTTACCATTTTGTGCTTTTATGACTTATCAGGTCTGCAGTTGCTGAGTTTCTTAGTATTATGCTAGTCTGTAGTAAAAAAAAGACACATTTACGTGTGTTGCTGATGGACTATTTTCTCATAATGCATTGCACAAAGGAACTGGAGGCAAGTTCACAGCTCTAAAACATTCAAACCAACATCTGTATGAAGTTAAAACAGCTTCATGAATACAACAAAAAACAAACAAACAAACAAACAAACAAACAAACAAACACAAAAAAACTATAAAATTGTTTTGATTTGTGAATTGTACTGATGTGACGAGGGCAGTCAACAAATCATTATGCAACATGCATCCTGCCTATGGCTGCTATCAGACCAACATTAGCCCTATGTCAAAAATGCAGCCCCCTCTCTATTCATATGAACTGGACCACTTTGTTGTCACATGGAGGAAGAAGATGCCAACAACTCAGTGTTGTTCGATAAAAAGTTGGCTCAACTTTTGCTGCAGCGCAATGCAAAACCATCACGCATTCGTGGTAGATTATTTTGTAACACAAACACCTTATTTCTGCTCTTTACTTTGTGACTGTCACACTGAAATATAAAATGATTGCCGTTGTATTAACTCTCCAAACTAGTAAAAATCAAAAATTGGAAAAACCTAATTTACTTTTTATTGTCTTTCTTTTTTAAAAAAAATCATTTTCTATTGCTTTTTTTTACCTTCTCTAATTGTTTTTAATTCTACTGAAGTATATTGTATGTCTTATCTCTAACTTTACCACGTCTGTCCTGCTTCTCTCTGGCCTTACTGTCTGGCTTTCTGTTGTTATATTGTTGTTTTAATGCCTTCTGAGCCTCTTGCCTCTTATCGCCTTTGCTTTGTTGTCACAGCACTTTGTAAACTTTGATTTTAAAGGTGCTATATAAATAAATTATTATTATTATTACATCATAAACTGCTATGCCGTGGTTTGGCGTCTGATCAGCTTTAAAACTCATGGATTTGCCATTCAGACTGAGCTTCCATGATTGTACTGCATCATCTTATTGGTACCTGAAGCCATACAGCCCCATCAATGCAGCCTCTTGCATTGTTTTAGTGCAGGACAAGGGAATATCAGCAGATTTCATCATCTGGGGACATTGAATATTTGTATGAAATTCATGGCAGTCATTCCAAAACAGTAATTGTTGAGATACTTAAGTCTTGAAACAGACTGGTGGCCACTATCAGGAAGGATCTCCTGTGGCATTGGGTGTCCACTGGACTCTACTGCTCCTGTGCTCATCTAAGGTGAGAGGAGGTGTGAGATATTGTCCATGATGCTATGTAGCACCCGAGAATCCAGCTGAACCTCCCACCCTGTGGACAGAGCCATCCCTCCTGATGTTGATAATTGTTGATCCTGTTAGTGTCAGCTGTTTTCAGCTTGCCGTCCCCATACAAGACACTGACCATCAAGAAATGATCAACTCTATCAGACAACAACGTCAGTATATATTCTAAATGCTCCACTATGTTCTCCAGCTAGTCACAGGCTTTGTCCATCTGACATATAAGTATGTCATAATCCATTGTATGTATATAAATATTGTTTATAGACATTTTAAGGTTGGGGAAAGCTCATAGTTAAAGTGGATGTTTTGTGATGGACTGGGATCTCCATTCTCCTGCACTAAAGCCAGACTTGTTGAATGCCCACACACCACCTCATTTTCCACCTTTCTACACACAGAGTGCAAACCTTGCTACACTGACACTGAATTTGCCATCAGATTGTAAATCATGAGTCGAAAAATTCCTCGGGGTATTGGGCTAATAGAACGTCTGGCTCGGAGCCTTCCTATACAGGGTCTCAGTGTTCTTATAAATCAGCCCCAATCCAGTCTGTTGTCTAGGTGGACTTCCAGGTACTTGCAGTTGTCGACCACCTCTACATCCTTTGCTGGAGACAGGGGATTCCTCTCTCTCTCTCTTTCTCTCTCATTAAATCCACCACGGTCTGAGCGATCTTGAGCTGCAGGCGATTCATCACACACCACTCCACAAACCTGACCACAACACCTCTGTATTCAGCCTCTTGGTCCCTGCTGAAATCATATACACAGAATAAACACTGTTAAACCAACTAACCATTTTACAGGAACGTTTCCTCACTGAAGTTTGAGAAATGTGAGATTCTTTTATGGATATGTATATATATATTTTTTTTGATAATCCATCTGGATTTTATCAGTGGTAACAATGAGATTATTTTATGAATTGAATTTGTTTTCTGTAAATCTGGCTTCTGAGGTTTTGTTACAACGTAGTGGCTCATCCGTAGTCTACTGGAGGGTTATAACTGTAACTGTATCTGTATCATCTCAGAAATTATAAACCTTAAATCGCATTTTAATAAATTGAATTAAATTATCAGAAATCAAATAAACTCAAATCAGAATCCAAAAAATGTTTGCAGCAGAGTCTCAAACTGTCTGCAGGGAGCTTGGAGGAAACTGAAACATTACTTACTAAATCTTACAACTCTGGTTTTTCTTCAAAATTCAGATTTGTATCTGAGTAATCCCCAGATTCGCAAGATTGCGCCACACAGTGTCTCAGTCAGAGCAGATTACAATGCAGCATGATGCCTAAAACACTGCATATTTATGGAGGTGAGAAGTAATAACAGATAAGAGCAAAGAGGAACATTTAATCAGATAAAGGTCTCTGTACTGTTTTACATTCGCACCACAAAGCGTCTGAGATTCTCACAGTAATTTCCCAGTCCTACTTGTGGACATGCTCCATCACCAGCGGGGCTCCATGAAAAATGAATGGCCTTAGAGGGAATGAGGGCCCCTGGATGATGAACTCACTGTAGATGAGTGCATACTGAAAGATTTATACAACTATTCATGCACAGTTTAAAGCAGGGCATATGTTTGAGGGCTGTTAAATGGAGAGTGATTATAGCACTTATTTTAATATTCATACACGTCCACTCAGCTGCCCAGGTCAAATTGACCCATATTAGACTGGAGACTGAACACCAACCACAGAGGAGCCGCTGTTATTCATTTTCATAACCTACAAAATAAATGAAATCATTTTAATATAAAAATTTCAAACCAAAGCCTTCCTGAAGCCCGGGAGGGTGAATAAACTCAAAAGGAGATTTGACAAAAAAAAAAAAGGTTACAGAAAACAAATGCATGTTGGTTTGCAGCTGGGGCAGAGATAATCACAATAGAAATACAGAAAGAGTCCAAGGCCTCTGAAAATAAATTAAGTCGCACAAAGTGTCATCCAACCACGTCTAGAGATAAAAGTATTTATATCTGCTGACTTGGAGGGATGGCAGAAATCTTGGCATCGTGGCCTCCTCCTGTCTGCATCGCACTTCCTCAGAGAACGCTGTGTCTTTTGTGTATCATTGCCGTCGCAACGTGATGAATTGTACAAATGGAGATAATGGTGCACGCGTTCAAGAGTCTCTCCTTGAAGTCTTTTCATGGTGTTAACACTCGCAAAAAGTGATGGAGTAGTTGTGTGAAGAAGGAAAAAAAAAAAAAAAAAAAACAGCTTGAGAGAGAAGGTTAAACCCCCGTCCAATTTCACACCTCTGCACACTGTACACTACCCGCCCAGCACCGAGCAGCAGTTGGTTTATCAGCGCTTTTTCACTGCCTGCTGGGGCTGGAAGCAAGGTTGATGAAAGAGTGAACCACACAACAGTAAGT